TTCATGGTGTCGGTGAAAGGCTTTTTTTTTTCTCCTCAGTACGTGGCCGCTCTGGAGGACATGCTGCGGGAGCTGAAGCTGCAGTCCTGGTGAGGCCCTGCGGCGGGGGGGGGGGGGGGGGGGGGGGGGGGGGTGTCTGTTACCTGCGGGGCTGGCACAGCCCACAGACACCGCAGAGCGCGAACTGAGATCCCCGTGGAAATATCTGTGGGTGAGGGGAAGAATTACACCCGTAAATCGTCTCCAGCGCAGCCCTGTGAGGAGCTGAGCGGCTCTGGCCTGGTCTCAGGGACATTTCCCTGCCCGCCCGCCTTGGCCCTGGGCCCTGCCGGTGCCCCGGGGTCCGCTGAGCCTGGGGAAAGGGGATTTTTCAGGGGGTTGCAATTGTGTTCTTAGCTTGAGGCTACTTCTGTTAAAAGATGCTGCTTTGAAGAACCAGGTGGTGGGGTTTTTTAATTCTATTTTATTTGAAAAGTCACGTGAACTATAGAAAATATTGTTAACTTCTGGTTTTCATATTGCTGTTTTTCAATTCCAATAGCAAACCTGCCCCAGAACTGCTGAATGAATACTCTCGCAAAGTAGACTTCCTAAAGGGACTTTTAGAAGCCGAAAAATTGGTAAGATCTACTAGTTCAGCTTGAAAAGCCTTAAGTATTCTCTGTTTATGTTTATCTCGTTGCCCGGTTCCTATGTTTGCCTTTATCTTATGTCACAAAATAACACTTGTTAAAATCTTATCAGGCAGCCCTTGTACAAACATTAATGAGTGTATTGAATTTTTGTGTTTTGTTAGAACGGGGTATCGTATGGAATCTAAAACTTCTTTTCATATATCTTGCCTGTATCCTTATCACTTCTTTGGCATGAGATACAGGGGCAGGTTCTGTCTCTTAGGCCTAATGCCTCTTTTGGACGGTACCACATGCGTCTGGAGAGCTATTAGTGTGCGTACAGTCAGTGCTGCTGTTCACACTGACTCTGCTGTGGAAGTGCTCCCTGTATCCTTGTTGGCCACATATCCAGGTGGCCTCACACTGCAGAATGTGTGATATTCGTGACTCTTCATTGCTTCTTTCTACTGACAGTCTTCATCAACGGAAAAGGCTCTGGCAAATCAGTTCTTGGCACCCGGACGTACCCCTACAACAACCAAAGAGAGAACCCCAGCTACTAAAACAGTTCATCTGCAGACAAAGGCTCGTTGCACAGGCAAGATGAGGAGTGAGCTGCTTGGTACAGTATGTTTTGGTGCTGCTGCTTCTTTACTGCTAGTTTATAGATTGTCTCTGGTTGTATTCAGCTGCCTTTGGTGGCTGTGCCTCAGACATGTCCCCAGGCTGGGCGGGGAGTCACCTTTTCCTGGTTTGGATAGTCTTACTGGCACTATGCTAGGCCTGGTGGACTGTCTTTTATCACTGGCTCTGTGTAATCTTCTGGTTTGTTTCCCTTTCTGTCTCCTAGGACCCCTTGGCTATCGATGGTAAGTTTAATCTGTTTTTTTCTCTAATTTCAGTTAACCTGATCCTTTCAGGGAGAGAAAGAGGAAAGTAAGAGCCTGGCCAAAGTTAGAGCTGGGCAAAGTGTACTTTTAGTTTAGGGGCTCACTTCTTTTCAGGATAGCAGATTTTAAAAACAAACACCACCAAAAGCTCTAACAGATGAAAGCGTAAGTGTTGTTATCAGTATGGTAGCAGGGACTCGCACGAACCTATTTTTCTAGAATTCCTACAGAAACAGACGGTCTAATTATAGAATTAGCAAGGACAATTTGCCTTTATTGTTCCTCCTGTTCTCTTCTGCTCTGAGCAAATAATGTGATTTTAGGTGCTTAGAGTAGGCGTTGTTCAGTTCCTCTTAAATACACAGACATGTTATTCATGTAGGGAACTGGTAGGAATTATTTTTCTGTTTCTATAGCTACTGTTACAGTGGCTGGAGCTAGGCTAATCTAATATGTCCTGAAAGAGAATACCAAGGCACACGGGCTTAAACCATGCCCTCAGGGATATGATTCGTCTGTTGGGTTTTTTGTTGGTTTTTTTTTTTTTTTTTCTTCTTCTCAACCATACTTTTAATGTTATATGTTGACTTTTCCCTGTGGAAAGTAGGTAGGCATTTGAAATATTCCCTGGAGTAGAGGATTTGGAGATCTGAAAATCCTGTACAGAAAATCTGTTTCTTCAGCCTATGATTGCATGAGAATTTATAGCACACTGAAACACCAGTTTAATTCTTTTTTCCAGATTCTGAAGAATTAAACATAAGGAAGCGGAAGTAAGTAAAAATTTCTCATTCTGATACTTGGTGTTTTGGGAACTACTTTCTCAATGTACTTCCATTTGGGTGAAGTGCCTGCTTAGAAAATTTACTGTACTTAGAAACCTAAGTACAATGACTTCAGCTGATTTAACTGTTCTTGGTGTCTTGTCAGAGTTGCAGAGTCTGGAGAAACCTTGGGAGGCTGACCCACGAGGAAGTACAAATCTCCTTTTTTTTTTTTTGTGCTCTTGCAGAGGCCTTGCATCGGATGAGAAGCAGTCAGCAGTGGAGCTGGATGCTGTGTTACAGCACCATCAGGATATGCAGGAGAAGTTAGCGGAAGAAATGCTAAGTTTGGCTCGCAGTCTCAAAAACAACACTCTGGCTGCTCAGAATGTGATAAAACAAGATAACCAGGTAGTGCATGTTAAAACAACCTCTGAATTTTGCAACTCGGAAGGTTAAAGTGCTAGTATGTTAAATTCTATACCTGTAACTCGATTCCAGGTGAGATTAGAGTGGGGACACTTGGAGGCAATACTTGTCTGCTTCTGTAGTGCAATTGAACCTCTTCTCTGTTGGAAGAAATAGTGGTCAGAACTTTCAAATCTGAGTTTCAAACCATTTGTTCTCTTTGCTCCCCAGACACTGTCACATTCTCTCAGGATGGCAGACCAGAACTTCGAAAAGCTCAAGGATGAATCTGACCGCCTTGAACAGCACGCAAAGAAATCAGTCAACTGGCTGTTGTGGATAATGTTAATCGTAGTTTGTTTCATATTCATCAGCATGATTCTCTTTATCAGGATTTTCCCCAAACTAAAATGATTTATTTTTTTTTAATTTAAAACTGACAGAAGTGCAGTTGGAAAGCTCAGATGGTGTGATAACTGTCAGCAGTCCATTTTTTTTGACACCTATCATGTCCTTAAAGCGGCTGTCCAAGGCCTAGCCTTGCATTTCGTGCCATCACTGGATTCAGTGAAGGGTTTCTACACTTGGGCACTTGGTTACTTTAAAGACAGCAATTTACGCCGAGCTGCTAGCAAGTACTTTAGTGGATACAGTCCTCTGCTTTTAATGTGGCTCTGGCAAATGACTCCTAAAATGTATTTACTCAATATATAAGTAACAGTTGAAGTCTTACAGTTCTTCCTGTCTTTACAGCTTTACTGTGCTGAACTAGGACCTTGCTGCCAACAGGATATTTAGTTACAAAGTTACGTACGTACACAGCTGTAGGGTGTAGGAAGAGAATGCCACCACTGAGTTGCTTGCCTGGCTCAGATTCAGGGAGTATCAACAGGTACAACTATTCTCAGGCTCACTTTTTTCCCCAGATGGGTGTGTGGGACTTTGGACTTGGTGATCTTCTTCAGTTTAGGGTCACTATAGAAGGGCTGAAGCTGCTTGCGTGTGCAGTGTTTGCTTCCCTTCGTGTGTGCGCGAATGTTCTCGCTCTTTGTCGGTTAAGTTGATGCTGTTGTATCAAGAAAACACGGTGACCCTGGCACCCCAGAACTGTACACACAGTGCTCTCTGGATGGTGTAGACCTCACCTGGGCAAATATTTTTTCACTGTAAGATGAGGGCAAAGGGAGCTGGTGTCTTCAAGACAGAAATAATAATTAAAAAAAAAATTCAGCCTTTACCTTTTGAGACAAATTATTCTGGTCAAGAATGTTTGTGTCAAACTTGTATTCTTAAGAGGTCACTATGATAAAGCAGAGATTAAATAAACTAGAAGGAGTATTGTTAAAACACTGCTACTGCTAGAAAAAAATGGGGCCTGCAGTAAAGCAAGGTTTGTCGTGGCAACGTAAGAGCCATTTTTGGGTGCTTGTGATAAGCTGAAAGCAATCCGTTCTGCATCTGTGCTGTCATTTCTGGAGCCGTACTCTGGGAAGTGGTGGTGTTGAGGTGTATCCAGTGTTTCACGGAGGAAGCGAGGAGCAGCAGCTGCTTCCCAAGTGTTCTTGGCGCTTTCTATTGCTGGTGGGAACCGCTAGATGGGGTGTCACGGTCCTGTCTGTCCTGACCTCCGCAGCAGCCCTGGCTGAGAGGACGGTGGGGAAAGAGCTGTTTGTCACAACAGTTGAGATCTTATGAAAATCCCACTGCTCCTTTGAACGCGTCCCAAAGTAGCGGGCTCTGTTGCAGAATTGTTCTTTGTTCCTTACAAAAACAGCTGTGATAATGAGGACAGTTAACATTTTATAAAGTTTTTTTTGTTCATTTAACAGGATGTTTGCAGTGTAGTGTGCCATTCGCTTACGGATTGTCAAATGAGCGATTACACTATGAAGTACAGATTTTCTTCTCGTTAGTCATCTGTGTGGTATGCTCGTTCTGTTCGAGCAAGCTTGCTACTTATCTTGAACTTTATAGAAATTTACAGTTGTTGCAATCCATTTATGGACATTTCTACTTTTCCCACAAGTTTTTATTCAGCTGTAATGTTTGACATTTCACTGTGCTTCGTTAGTGAATGCTGTGTCACAGAATTATTTTTTAATTCTAATTGTTTACTACTTCAGGCATTTCAGTGCTGAGCTCTTCTCTTAGAGCAGAGGTTGAATGTAGTGCTGGAATGTTTGTGTGTGAGATACTGGGATGATACAACATCAGTGCTTTGTGGGCTATAACATTTTCACCTTTATTACTTGAAATAAAATTATTTTTACAGCTTGCAAAAGACTTGATGCATCACTGCAGACGAGTTTAAAGCTGATTATTGCTATCAGCCATGTGTTGGTTATAACTTTTTGGCACTTAAATTAGAAGTTCAGTTGGAAAGACCTGAAAGGGAACTACTAGTGATAGCTTGCCGCCAGGAAAATATCCACCCCTCCAAGCAATTCCTTTACGAAGAAGCCTGCTAGGAAATCGGTTCAGAAACACACGGTGTTAACTTTTGACCGCTGACATTTCATGGCTGTTTGTTATTTTGAAGGATGAACTGCCAGCCCAGAGACTGAATCCTGTAACTACTAATACCTTTTGTGATATTTTGCATGAGCACAGTGCCTCCAGCGCTGCACGGAGCCTCTGGTTACCTCTGACCTGGTGGAAGAATGTTACCTTCTGCCCTGGCAAACCAACGGGATTAATTGCCTCGGTGGCCAGCGGTCTCCCTGCGCACACTGACTGTTCTGTCGATTGGCAGTTGCAGTCTTTGCTTTTCTCGAGTTCATTTAGTAATTAGAGTAATTCAAAAACACTTTTGAAGATGGGTGCCAGTAGTATTTAGAATAAACAATCACTCAAGGCTTTGTGACATTTTGGAGATGGAGTGACAGTTTTTATTTTTGACTAAACTACAGGAGGTGCTGGTTGTACGATCTGCTGCCATAGCCTCAGCTCCAGCTCATGGCACGGGGCTCTGATGTGCTTCCCTCTGCAGAATAACGTTAGATATAAAAATAGCTTTCTGTGAGAGTTGCAAGCATTGTGAAGTGAGAATTGCTTAACTTTCCCAAAAGCTTGGGAAATCCAGATGGAGAGATGTTTATCAGGCCTAGGGCTGGGCCTTGGTTGGCTTCTTGGCAGACTACCTACTTTCAGAGAGCAAGTTAAAAAAAAAAAAATCTTTTGGAGACTTGGGTCATGTCAGGCCGGTGAATGCAGCATTTCCGATCCTGGCAGCAACAGCAAGTAGGGGTCAGTCTGAGCTTTTCTGGCAAACACTCTTGGTGACAGAGACTCCTTGTATTATAATACTTCATGTTTAAGCTGTGTCCTCAGTCACAGCTAGATTTGGTGTTTTGGGAGGATTGTTGACAGTAGATAGGCTGTCAGTGAGGATGCAGGAAGGGCTGGAGCAGAACGCCACAGAATGGCTCCTGTGCCTGGGTAATGCCAGCTTGTGTGGGGCATGTGTTCGTTGGGCTTTACTTTACGAAGCCTCTGTGTATCAGACTTCGTAGGCTGTGAGCAGCTTTCAGAAACTGGCAACCACTCTGCCAAAAAGGGTGTCTTGTAAAAGAGTGAAAACAATGGAGTGGACAGAGAAGGGTTCTGCTCCCGACTCTTCATCTTGTGATTCTGGGCAAGTCCCCTTCATTCTGATTGACTCTGTTGTAAATCTGATGTGAATCCTGAGACTCAAAGTCTTATGATTAATAGTTACAAGCATGAAAAAAATGTTAACCACGATAATAATGCAGATAGGAGCAGAAAATAATAATCAGATGTCTTGGTCTACAGCAGAGTGCTAATGGCATTGCAGAGTCCTACAGCCCAGCGCAGGGCTGGCCGGTAGCTCTCGTCCTGACCTGCCACATTGCTGCGGCTTGGTGTGCGCTCGCCGTGTGTTCCCACTGAACAGGAGTGACATTAAAACGCAACTTGGTTAAATCAATACCACCTGTCACATGACACCGCCGTGACATTTCTGGCATGAGCGCTGCCTCCTAATAGGAGATGGAAGTGGGAAGCAGCAGCAGTTAGTGAATAATGGATTAGATATGCCTGATTTGTAACATTTACAAAGAAAGGGTGTGTCTCCTAGCTACAGAACAAACTGGTTATCAAAACGGGAACTCGGAGTTCTGTGTCGTCCAAACGCAAAACGTGAGATAAAGCAGCGGGGAGCGTACAGTTACGGTTTGCTGAACTCTGCTATGCTGCCCTGAGGGCTGTTGCTCCAAATTTGACTCTGGATCAGCAAAAATGTGCATTAGTATAAAGAAATAAAAAAGAGAGAAAGCAAGGGGGGGTTAGGGGTGGTGAGCTGTAGCTGAGAACTGGTGTAGCCAGTCGGTCGCCTGCAGCGCGGCGTGCCCATACCACGAATTAGAGAGTGACGCCGCTGCAGCCGCTAACTCGCACGTGGCTGCTGATGGAGAACAACCCGCCTGGCAGCGGCGGAGGAGGAGGTTGTGCAAACGAGATGTGGGGTTGGCTTAGGTGTACTGTGAGAAGCTGTAGGAAAGAACGGGGGATGAGGAGGCCAGAGGGGACTGAAGGCCAGATATAGATTTGTTGGGCTGCTTCGCAGCTGGGTCCTGCTAGTGAGACGCAGGTTGGGAACACTGACTGTTTGCTGGTTCTTGTAGCAATGAAGAAATAAACAGGTTGAGTTGAAAAGTTCAATGCTGAATTAGAATTAAAATGTTCTGACAAGGAATGGAAAGTCCAGTATTGCAGCTGCCTCTGTGACTTCCAAAAATCAAACTGAACAAAACCAGAAACTGGACAAAAAAAAATAAAATGCAGTGCTGCAGTAGGCCATGGAGAGCTGTGATTTCCTTTGTATCCTTCAGTTCCCTTGAGCTGCATGTGGCAGAGAGGTGTCCTCTGCCACTTTCATCTTGGGCAAAGGTGGCATTTGCTAATGTGACAATAGAGTGCTCCAGAAGGATCTGACAGTGTTTCCTGTTTCCACAGTAAAAAAGCTGGGACTTGCGTCCTTAGCACGTAAAGTGACGGGATCTTCATCCTCTGAGCTTTCTCCCGTCGAGAAAAGAGCAGTCACTTATCGGATTTGGTGTGGACAGAAGGAAGGGTAAGAAAGGAACTTTGTCAGTCTATGACGTGAAATATTTTATATTAAGACATTTGGCAAATGGTTCTGTGTGACTCCCAACAGGATGAGATAAATTTTCCAAGGTCAGCTCTCCTGTACTCTCAGCTTTAGGTTTAGTCACTGAGAAGTCGATTCTGTAACATTTACAGCAACATCCTGCCAGTGAGGCCGAGACTTGGCTATTGTTGGCTTCAGCAGCAACTCTCGTGCATCTTCCAAGGCCAGGAGGCTGAATAATGTGTGAACTGCACGGTGAGAACCTTGTGAGCAGGAAAGTGTGTTTGACAAATCAATAAAAATAGAGCGACCTGAGCAACAGGGTAACTATTCACCCAGGCAGTTGCAACCTGGTGTTAAGAAGAGGCAGTATGAAGTGGTGGATGAAGCAGAAAGTGAGAATTCTGACTCTTGCCTTGGCCTTCTGGCTTGCTG